AGCCTGGAAGTAATAAATGCATGAACTAGTTTTTCAGCGTCACTCTGAGACAGGATATTTCTAATTTTAGAGATGTTGCACAAATGGAAGAAAGCAGTCTTACATATTTGTTTAATATGTGCGTTGAAGGACATATCTGTTATTATTGACTTGACAGATATTGATTATAAGACATCTGTAGCCTTCATGCGCTGCATTATCATGAGACATATACTGTGGGCCAAGGGTAATTCCAAACAAGATAGCAATGCACAATATGCACTAAAACCTGTAAACACATCTATTGTGTAAGTATTGTGTGACAAAAGGGCCACTTACCATTTATGGCTACAAGAGGCACACTCAAAAAAATGAAATTGGGTGGTTGTTAAATGCACAAGATCCAAACTTGTAATTTGAACTAAATAATTCCATGTTTCTATGGTGAACGTAATTGAATCATGTAGCATCTGCATGAAATTCAGCAACTTAATTTGTTCTTGTTGAGATGACATCATACAATCTAGTAAGAGTGGTTAGTTGCCTGGATCCAGCCACTCTTACTGGAACATGGAATTATTTAGGCTGCAAAAACCCTCCTGTTACTGCCTCTCTGTTGTGCAGGACAAAGCGTGTGTGAACTGCAATATCACAGTGGGCACAAAGGAATGGAAGAGGCACTCAGTCCAGGCACCTCACAACAACTTGTTTGCCACACTGACACACACTGTGTGGCTGTGGAGCCAGAGGAGCTAACATATTGTCAATAAGACAAGGCCTGGTCTCTTTCTACTTTTGCAAGGACACCATGTTTCTGATTTCCCAGTGAGTAGCAGCCAACTCAGACGACGTCTCACAAGTCACAGCTGCATCCTCTTCTGCATCCTCCAACAACAACTGAATGAGCTGCTGACGAAGCAACACAGTTCCAGGCACTACCAGAAAAAAACATTAAGAAATAAAGAAACTGCCACAAAGTGAACTAAATACTCTAGGCCAGGGGTGTCAAACTCAAATACAAAGTGGGCCAAAATTCAAAACTTTAACAAAGTCGCGGGCTAACGTTAATATTTATTGAAATATATTTATTCCTCCAGATATAAGAATGAATCTTTTCTTATGGACTCAAACACGTTTTGCTGAAAAACTGAATATGGAACAAGCAAATCTTAATACTAAACAATATATATATTAGCTGTATAATACCAGTAGGCCAGCTCTAATAGTAATTTGTAAACATTTGTTTTTGTTCTAGGGAGGACATTTGTTTTTGTTCTAGGGAGGACATAGGAAAAAAATTGAAAGATTCTATGGGCTCAAATATTTATGACCACAATTTGAGCCCATATCGAATCAGTATCGTCGATACCACTCTGAATTTTAGCTGGTATCGGATCGGAAAAGAAAACAGTAGTATGCACATCACTAGAAACAACGGTGTGGAAACAACACGAGTTCTCGTGGTCTCGCGGGATTTCCCAGCGTTGCCTAGCGACGTGACTCTCAATCGGTTCCGCGAGGGCTTTTCTGGCTTTCAGAAGTATTAATGTTTTCTGGAAGTGTTTGTTATGCGCGGAGACACTCTTCAGTTTTCAAGTCTGCTGGCATATTATTATTTTTTTAAGTGACATCTAAAAATGTCTTTTGTAGTTGCTCAGTCTCATTTCATTTTCGGTGTACGGACTGGTGTGAGGAACAATTTGTGTTTCTTTGACGAGCAAACCGTCGTCTTCCCCAGCGGAAACAGCTGCGTGTGTTTCAACACCGTCCAACGATGGCAGCGGTTCATTTCAGGTGCGTCTAAGTCACAACTAACTAACATAAGTAACTAAATTTCTACCCTGGTGGTGCTCTTGATATATAATACAAGTACGAAAGTTGTTTTTTTTTAGTATTTAACAGCATTTATTTCTGTTGGTGTCGTCTCTCCAGGCTCAGAGAGAAGTCAGGGAATGCGTGCTATGACCATCAGCTCCAACAGACGCTACCTGGCAGTGTCAGATTATGGAGAGAGGGCCACCGTCACTGTGTTTGACCTGCAGCATGAGCAGGGCAGAAAGAGAAAGGTTTTGAGTGCAGGAGACATGTCTGTTCAAGAGTTTATCTGCATTGCTTTCTCTCCTGATTCTAAGTACCTGATAGGCCTGACAGGGAGCCCTGAGTGGATGCTGATCCTCTGGCTTTGGGAGAAACACAAACTCCTGGCAACACTGAAGACAACAAACACAAATAATCCTGTCACCCAGGTGAGTCATCTGTGCTGCATCAGTGAAGCTTGTATAAATGCAACACATGCTGAACACGTTATTATTATAGTAACTGTTTCTCATCAGGTCAGCTTCAACCCTTACAACAACACACAGCTCTGTGTGAGCGGAACCGGTGTTTTCAAGTTGTTCCGCTACTCAGAGGGGGCCCTGAAACCAAGCAGTGTTGCAAAGGTTGAGTCCATCAATTTCCTGTGCCACACCTGGATGTCAGAGCACAGGGTGATCGCTGGCACAGACACTGGCAGGCTGCTGGTGTTTGAGTCTGGAGACCTGCGAAGAGAGATCAGCATGACTTGTGTGCAGGGCCAGCCTGCCAGGTGAGAAAGCTGGACCACATGAACTGGTGCTATTTTACATGAAGCAGCCTCTGTAACTCATCTCCACCCCATGCTGTTCCTGCCAATTTTGACCCAATCAGGGTCAAGTCCATAATCATAATGGTGAATAATCTGACTTCAAAACCAACTAATTTTATTGAATTCTGTCAGTTGTACCCCAAAAATATCTAGCATAGAGCTTTTCATGGCTACCAAAAGCACCTGCTAATCTGGGCAAATATAAATGATTCCTGGTGTCTAACTTCATTGTTGTCCAACAAATACACGCCGATGGATTTAATAAAGACTTTAAATGTCCGAGCAGCTAGTATCACTCATAACGTGTGGCAATGATTAAAAAAAGTAGTGGAAAAATTGGCAGACATGTTGAAACATGGAATGGAAATGCGTATAACAAATGATAACCAGCTGATCTCAGACCAGATGAATGGGTTCACTGTGGTCACTGCAGCGATCCATCTTTGATGAGTGATGTTCTTGCTTATAACCGCTTCACTCTGCACAGGCAGTTGGAGGTAAAGAAGATCAAAGATGCTAATGTGAATGAAGGTCCCTCTGTCCCTTCCATCACAGCAATCCTGTCCTACTCCAAAGGCTTTGCATGCTCTAGAGGTCCTGGCACCGTTTTTCTGTTTGTGCAGACAGATGAGAATGGTTACAGAAAGGCCAGGGAGATAAAGGTAAACGTCCAAGCTTTATTTCAGAAAAGGTGGAAAGTGTAGTCTTTGTGTGCACATGGGTATGTTTGTGTCAGATCCCTCTAGATGCATACTGCAGCGGTGTGACCTTGGCAGAATACCAGCAGATTGACACCATATGCATCAGTCCAGCAGAGGAGACTTTGGCCATCAGCACAAACCGAGGACAGCTGTACAGTGTCAGCCTGTCCTCTGTGGACATGAACAAGGTGCTCTACAGTTACACCTACCAGCACCACCAATGACGGGGTTCATCATTTGTATAAGTGAAATTACTGCTTCAACTATGCTAGCTGGTATTTCATTTTCTTCCACATGCCCCCATCAATTCAGATTATGTAGAGCTGTTTGCTACATCCATTCTCACGCTGACCTCTTCTGTACTTGAAACATTACTATAGTAGCTGGTCGGCAGTCAGAAATACATACATATTATTTTGCTGTTTTACTTTTTCTTCTATGTATGATCTCACTTCCTCTTCTTTTCTTTTGGTGGACCAATTGTGCTCATTTCCAGTTGGATATTTTTAACAGTCTTTGTATGCTGTAGCAAAGAAAACAGTAGCGAAGTCTTGTGAATGAAAAGAAAAAGGTCAATCCAAGAAACATGGAAAACAGTTCAAATAATCCAGCAAAAGATAATTTTGTCTTTATTTGCAGCTCCATATTTTTATTCACGGACTAGTTGTCTTATACTCGGCCTCGATACATCCCCTCAGTTCATTTTTTATCTGAAACAAGCTTCTCTGCCTTTAAGTTAGTTCTCTAAGGTAACCTTTTTACAGATATTCTCTCTCTTTGACATCATCTAGAGTAGATGTGGCCCACATGAGGTCAGTGGTAGATTAGGATTTAAATGTAAAGACATTGCACCCTTTGATAAACTCCCCATCAGAATTGAGTCGAGATTATAGGCTGAACTCAGTTCTGATGTAGCATGGCCCTCCACAACAGTGCCAGTTTCTCATGTGGCCCCTTGAAAAGTTAATTGCCCATCCATTCTCTAGAGAAAAAGGGTAAAAAAATATTTATTTTATTATATTATTAAAATATCACGTTTTCTCCTTCTCTTCCTTCATTGTCTTCTTTCTGTTGTCTAACAGCATGGCACTTGTTTAAGGCATCAGAGTTCTCTTTAGATGTTTAAAGTTGATGTTATCTTTGCAACTCCATTAGGAGGATAAACTACACTTTGAGTTCCTGTCCCAGTCCTTCCACTCCAGCTCCATCACTGGTTTGTCTATCTGCATACGCAAGCCCCTCGTAGCCACCTGCTCTCTGGACCGCTCTGTCCGCATCTGGAACTACGAGACAAAGTAAAACACATACACACAATTCCTTTTATAGATATCAATCAGTTTTCGTCAGGTTGATACAATATAAAACTGCATAACAAAATGACATGTCATGTTTCTGAGCTCTTGCTGTTCTCTCTGTTTTGTCACTAGAGTGTTGGAGCTGTGCAAGGAGTTCCAGGAGGAGGCGTACAGTGTGGCACTACATCCCACAGGCCTCTTCATCCTTGTGGGGTTTTCAGACAGACTCAGGCTGATGAACCTGCTTATTGATGACATCCACACCTTCAAGGAGTTCACTGTGCGCAGCTGTAGAGAGGTAGAGGTTGCTTTGCATTTGTGTTTGCAGTAAATCTGAACAGCCAATACTGAAATAATCAGAGTATTACTAAATTCAAGTGTGAAATGATTGATTTTTACCCCCTTCTGTTGTGTCTCATCCAGCTGTGTTCTGTAAATCCATAAATACTGAATCCTGGGTTAGCGTTTTCAGCATTTACTGCGATATCTGATAGTTCATCTTAAAGTGGAGAATTATCACATTTTCCACTCAAAACTTTTGTGTTTGGACTCTGTCTTTGTCTCCTTCTCTTTTCAGTGTGCTTTCAGCAACGGTGGCCACATGTTTGCAGCTGTCAATGGAAACATCATTCAAATCTATTCTGTCACCTCTTTTGACAATATCCTTAATCTGAAGGGCCACAATGGAAAGGTGAGTCCGCTGGAGTATGTGTTACAGAGGAGTCCCACTGCTTATTTGTCATTCTTATTTACTGGTATTTCAATTAACAGGTGTGTCGGATTGAGTGGAGCCTGGACGACAGCCGGGTCGTGTCTTGTGGGGTGGATGGGGCAGTGTACGAGTGGAACACGCAGAGTGGCAAGCGGGAGTCAGAATGCGTCCTAAAGTCCTGCAGTTATACAGGTGTGGCCTTCTCCTCAGACTGTAAGACCATCCTGGCTGTGGGAACAGACCTCACTCTGAAGGAGATCCAAGACTGTCAGGTTAGCAAGCACAGCTGACTCCTGGATTTGTTCTTTCAAGTTGCTGCAAATCAACAAAACATCTCAAGCAGCAGCAATGTTGTTGTTTTTTCTTTCTTTCTTTCTTTTCTTTTTTTCCTTTTTTTTTAAACTGGGTTCATTATTGTATCCTATCCACAGGTACTGAGGGAGGTTCCAGCTGATGAGACAGCTCACACTGCTCTTGCAGTGTCCCATTCTGGTAGAGTGGTCTTCACCGGGACCTCCAGTGGGACTGTAAGGGCCATTAAATACCCATTACCTATCCAGAAGGAATGGATGACATACCAGGCTCACTCTGGGCCTGTCACCAAGGTGAGCAGAAGCACTGATTTGCTCATTAAACTGATCAGAATACTTTATTGATCCCTAGGGAAAATTATGTGTGTTAATGTGATGTGAGATTGATACACACACAATCTCACATCGTGTATGAAAAAATCGATTGACTATGATGCTGATCATTAAGAAGCAAAGAGTCCACCCACTACAACATGTGTGTCCTCAGATGGCGATCACGTATGATGATCAGTTCCTGCTGACAGTGTCTGAAGACGGCTGTCTGCTGATTTGGAAAATCATCGATAAGGAGGGCAGAGGTCTAAAGATCAACAAACACATCGTCCACACGGAAGAGATCCTTATCACCAGGTCAGACCTGGAGGAGAAGGTGAGTAAGTGCATAGTGTGACACCCCCCTGTTGGTCTTGTTCCTAAAGCATTGTAAGTTCTTGATCCTGGACCATCAGTGCAAGTGGTCATTTATGTGTTTGTAATGTTATAGCTTTGGAACATCACTCAGTGCAACACTCAGTGCATCATGGGAAGTCTCCAGCAGCCTAGGCCTATTTCAGCATAACTAAGGATTCAGGGTCACCTGATCCAGCCCTAACTATATGTATGTGTATATGTATATTTCATCTAAAAGAAAAGTTTTAAGCCTGATCGTAAAAGTAGACAGGGTCTCTGAAAGCTGAAGCCTCTGCCCCCCCAGTCTACTTCTACTTCCTAGAAGGAACAATCCTTAGTGCTGTACTGCATGTGAGGGTTTTTTTGCCAGATGAAGCCTCCCCATACATGGCTAGCATGAATCCATCCATGCATACTTACATACACACACGTAGATACAGAGGTGGCAAAAGTACGGATATTTCGTACTTAAGTACAGATACTAGTATCAAAAAAGCCTGTTTTAAAAATGTGAGGAGTAGAATGTAAAGATATTTGATTAAAATGTAGGGAGTAAAAGTAAACAGCTGTCAGAAAAATACCTACTTAAGTAAAGTATAGATACCTGAAAATTCTTTTCAACTACAGTAACAAAGTATTTGTACTTTGTTACTTCCCAGCTCTGTACATACGACCATTTTCGGCTTCTTATGATGCCCCAGCAACCAGGACCAAGCTAAGGTCCTGGTTGCTGGGGCAGCATCACAGCAGAGACCTCACTCTCACCACTAATCCTGGTCTTTCGGGGACCTCGAGGTGTTCCCAAACAGATGTAACTTCTCCAGCATCTCTCTCCAGCCTTTCTCTCTTTAGTACATGCCTGAAACACCTCGTTTAGGAGGCCTCCTGGTCAGATGCCTGAACCACCTGAGCTCACTCCTTTTGATGTGATGAAGTAGTGGCTCTACTTTGACTTCCTCCTACATGAACAGGCTCCTCACCGAGCCTTTGGAGGAAGCTCATTTGCACTGCTTGGTCTTCAACCACTACACACAACTTGTGGCTGTAGGTCAGGGTGGGAATGTAGGTGAGCCAGTAAATCGACGGCCTCGCTTTCACACTAAGCGGAGTCTGGGGTTCACATTACTGCAGACGCTACAGCAATCTGTTCTTTCCAAGTAGTATGAGGTACACTTCATGTGTTTATGTGACTGCTTTAAGTTATTTATGTACGACACTTTAGAAGAAAGCTAAAAGAATTGCAACAAGGTGACAACTGTCATGTTATGGTTAAAAGAAGAGGTATTGAATGTATGTTCCTGCGTCTACTTTCAGACCCAGCACATGCTGGAGATGAGGATGCGGCTGGAGGAGCTGCAGATGGAGAATGAGTACCAGCTCCGCCTGAAGGACATGAACTACAACGAGAAGCTCAGAGAGCTGTCCGACAACTTTGTCCAGCAGATAGAATCTCTGAAAACATCCCAACAGGTGTGCCTCTGTTACACGAGAGCTCAGCTTCACATAGATTTACAACTTAAAGGTCAAAATGTCTTCCCAAGACTAGCAATCATCAGTGGGTGACTTTTGACGTTGATCGATTGAGTCAGTAGCTGCTGCCCTTGATGAATCAGGTATCCTGCCTTTACTGCAGGCCATGAAGACAGATATGGAAAAGCAGGAATGTGAGAATCAGCAGAATTCTGCAGAGCTTATTATGAAGCATTCGAAAGAACTGAAGGATTTAGGTAACAGGAGAACAGGATCAGCACAATCTGTTATCTTTATTTTTGTAAGTGTTTGGTGTTCATACTCTTTTAATCACACACAGAGCTATCATACAGCCAGAAGCTGATTGTGGAGCACGAGAAGTACCAGGATCTTCAGCAAAAACATCAAAGGATGCAGGAAGACTATGAGAAGCAGCTCAAGTTTGCAGAGGACAGAAAAATCCAAGCGGTGGAGGAGCTCACAAAGATGTACGAGGCCAAGCTACAGGAGAAGGCCGAGCTCCTCGCTCAGGTCAGTAATAAGGAGCAGGAAGAGGAGGTGGTGGTAAGTTAAATGGTGCAGCAGTTGAATGAAACCGGTAATCTTTCGTTTAGTGTCAGGAGGACACCGAACAGAAGATTAGTGTTTTTAAAGCAATCATAAAGCAGGCCGAAGAGGACGAGGAGAGGAAGATTCTCGAGCTCCAGACCAATTATGAGGAGAAAATGAAAACTGAGAAACAGACCAATACAAATCTGAAGGGAAAAAATAGCATCATGGCACAAAAGGTGAACGAAGCTTCTGTTATTCACTGAATGTTTGGTTCTGTTGCAGAGCATCAGCTCTGTCTCCCGTCTGTCTGCTCACATCAGCTGCTGTTCTCTGTGTGTCTCCTCTTTGGTTGGTTGGACGCTGGTGTGTTCACAGTTCATCAGTCTACAGAAGCAGATTGATGACAGGAGCGCTGATATAAACAAACTGAAGCAAGAGCGGCAGAGGCTGCTTGGGCTGATCCGCTCCCTGGAGAGTGACATCGAAGACCTGAAGAGGCAGATCTCTGGACATGAAAAGACCAGTCAGGACAAGGTGACCGAGATCAGAGTTGTCATTTCCCTGTCAACCAAACGTCCACTTAGCAGAATTTTAAACAGTTTTACATTTTGAAGCCTCGACATTACACATGTGGAGTCAGAAGTGACGACATTTATCATTTAACACTAGCTTTAACTCTATAAAGCATAAAGTGACATTTTAATGATGGGTTTTGACACCCAGCTGATAGAAACAAATAAGATTTGGGGACTTCTCGCCCCCCGAGTTCCTGCTCTTTGTTGTGCTCACTGCTCACTTATTTGTTCCTCAAGTTTTTCTGCTTCTTTGTACATTCCTTCATGACCATCCTGATAGCTTCACAGATCTCCCTCCAGGAATTTGCTGACATTTATGAGTCATTATAGATGAGATGATGATTGCGTTGAAAAATAGGCAGAAATACACAGGACGAACAGGCCAGTCACAGCAGCTGTGGGCTGCGTTGATATGTCTTCTGGTTCTACAAAGGAGCACGTCAGGGTATGTTGTAGGTTTGTTGCAGTTGTGATGCAGGTGCAGTGTAGATTTCTCAGCGAAGCTTAAGTGCCGTGTTACTGTGCGTACATTTATGGGAATATGAGCATATTATAAGCATATAAGTATAATATAAGCATGTTTTAAAGCGCTGGGTTACTGAAAGACAGACAAGTTCTCCTACATGCACTT